ATCAAGCCAACTAAAATGACTCAATGGGAGTCATTTGGGACTAGCTTGGGTGAATTAAATTCAAAATTGCGTATCATTAGGCCTGGCGGCCACACACCAACATGTTAACAAACAAGCAGCAACATACTTCTGAGATGAACAATTGTTAAGCTAAATTTAGTTCTTCTTAGCCCTTATGGCTGGAGCTCAGGGGAGGCCAGACATCCCTCTGGATGTCCCTCCTTTGCTAAAGCAGTACAGCTGGCCTGCACAGGGTATGTGGCCAAGCACAGCAGTCACATTTCAAACCAAATGGACTGCTCCATTTGGGGTCCTGATGGGGACAGGATGGAAGGTGTGGGCTCTTCCAGTTTCAGCATTATTTTTAGAGTGTTTGTGTGTGGCTGAAACACCAGCGCAAATACCACGCTTGCATTTGTTACCCTGGGCAGAGGAACAATCCGTCATCAAGGCTGACCATTTTCTTCTGAATGGCAAACAAGCTCTCAAAACTGTCACTTCTGTGAGCACCTAGGTAGCCAAGGGCTTTGGGATTTTGATTGCTTTCATGTTGGATGAAAACTTTGGCTGTGATTTCATCCATTCTCTAGCAATTTCAAATGAATGGTTCTATTTCTGGCTCTCCATTGCTGAAATGTGTGTTTTCCAGCCCCCAAACTAAAAACCTGAACAAAGGCAAAAACTCCTTATTTTCAGTAACTCATGCTTTTGTTTTTTGCTTCAATGTGGCAATTGATTGTCTGCTTTAATGGACAGGGACTTGCAGAGATGGTGCCTTGACTCTAGTCTTCAGCAAAAGAGTGATTTTTAATCATTTCTGTTTCCCATGCTGTCACCCCAGAAGCCTTGTTGGAGTCTGGTTCACCTGCCGTCATTTTCTCTGTATCATTGCTGTCTGTTCTCCAAGCACTCAAAGCTTGGGAACCTGAAATCTAAAAAGGACGCAAGAGTTTGAATTGACTTTTTTTCCTTCTCAGTAAATTAAAAACATAAGTTGGAGTTCTTTAGACCATTCTTTAGACTACGTGAAGGCAATTTTTGCCTCTAGGGGACATTTGCTGGAGATATTTTTGGTTTGGTGGTAGAGGTGGTGGGGGTTACACACATCTAGTGGGTAGAGGTCTTCCCAGGTGGTGCAGGGGTAAAGAATATGCCTGCCAATGCAGGAGATTTGGGTTCCATCCCTGGGTCAGGAAGATCCCCTGGAGTAGGAAATGGCAGCCCACTCCAGTATTCTTGCCTGGGAAATCCCATGGACAGAAGGGCATTGTGGGCTAGTCCATGGGATCACAAACAATGGGACACAAGTGAATGGCTGAGCACACAGTGGGTGGAGGTTAGAGGTGCTGCTGAATACGATGCAAAGTGCAGGACAACAACTCCCCCTCCCCCAATGATGGGTTCTCTGGTCCCAAATGTCAACCATGCTTAGGTTGAGACAGAATTGTATGTCTACTGATGATGATATTGATGGACACCTGGACCAGTGGTGATGATGAACAACTTGCTGTCCTTTGTCTCTTAGCCTTACCCAGTGAGACTTGATCTCATAGACAGACGATATGGCCCATTGATCAGAGAAGGTGGCTTCAGATCTGAGAGGCCTGGACCTGGGTTCAGGCATAGCAGAGATGAAGGGCATGGTTCCTAGTCATTTATGTGCCCTGTATCAGCAGCAAAAATGAAGTGAGGATTGGGAAGACAGGAAACATCTGGGCAGGGACAAACTCCCTGGTACAAAGGCCCACCCATGCCCATGGAACAGCTCTATGACAAGGATGCTCATGCTACCCTGTGGGCACCATCCTCCAGACAGATGGAATTTCCACCAGCTGCATAGCATAGAGGCAGGGCATCTCTAGATTTCAGCTCCTCCATATACTTCCACCAGGCAGCCACTAGAAGGGGCCTGCTTGTTTTCTCTTTCTGTTCCTCATGGAGATGCCAGGAGGGGTGATGATAGCTGGCCCAGGATGAGACATCTACCTGGCCCAAGGTGCCCAAAACAAAGGAATAACATGACTCAGAATAACAGACATCTCCCTCCCTGACCCCACTGCCATGATCCCCACTGTTGCTACAAGAACCTACTTCATCAACATCCACAAGCTTGGCCATCATGTGACGCTGTCTTTCTTCAACTTGGAAATCCACATCTGTTGGGCCTATTGTCCACATTTGAGATCTCAAATTTCCATCTGAGCCATAGCTGTGCCATCTCATTTTATCTACATCTAGACTAGAGGTTATGGAATCTCCTAAAGGAGCCAGCTTTGCAGGAAATCAGGAACAATCCATTTCTGTTGACTGAGGGACATTTCATGAACAGAAGTACCATGGATGCACACTTCATGAGTTCACATCCCAACTCCACCATGACTGAGGGTATAACCTGCAGCAAGTTTTTTAAAAATTTCTCTGAGTCTCATCTGTAAAGTGGAGATCACAGTGGTACCCCCTTCATAAGGTACGCATGGAATTTAAATGAAATCATAAATGCTAGCTGCTTAATTTAAGCCCTGGCTAAATGAAGGAGGCTACAGAGGCTATTGTGTTGGGGTGTTGGGTTCTATCACACTCGCCTCATCTGTCAAGTGTGATGAACAACCTTGGGCTAAGGTGGTTTTGTTGTCCCTCTCATTTGGCAGATACAAAAGGCAATGTCCAGAGAGGTCATATTCTAGGAAGTGAAGAATCAGTACAAGTACTCGACTTCTGGTTCCTACCATGCTCTGGCTTCTGCTGCAAAGCTCTGCCGTCTCTTCAAAGTTGGGAATGCTTCATGATCCAGCAGTCCTACTACTGGGTATATATCCAAAAGAACTGAAATCAGGATCTTAAAGAGATATCTACACTCCCATGTGCATTGCAGCACTATTCACAATAGCCAAGATGTGAAACCCCCCAAATGTCCATTGACTGATGAATGGATAAAGGAAATGTGAAATGTCCATACATTGGAATATTATTCAGCCTTAAAAACAAGGCAGTCCTGCCATTTGAAACAACATGGATGAAGCTGAAGGACATTATATTAAATGAAATCAGCTAATCACAGGACAAATCCTACATAATTCCACCTATATGAATCATCTAAAATAGTCAAACTTATAGAAGCAGCAAATACATTAGTGGTTACCAGGCTCTGGGGAAAGGCAGAAGTGGGGACTTGCTGTTCAGTTGGTATAAGTTTCAGTTACACAAGATGACTAAGTTCTATAAGATCTGCTGTACAAGGCAACACCTAGAGTTAGCATGATGCCATTATGCACTTCGGAATTTGGTGAGAGGGTAGCTCTCATGTTAAATATTCATACCAGAAAACAAACAAAACATAAAACCAAAGGGATGCAAGGAAACTTTGAGAGTTGTTCATATGTCTATTCGCTTGCTTGTGGTGTTGACATCACTGGTGTTTGCCTATGTCCAAATTCATCAAATTATACATACTAAGTATGTGCAGTTCTTAGAAGATCAATTAACTTCAATAGGCTGGTTTTTTTTTTTTTTCATTTTAAAAAAGAGCAATTAAGTGACCACCCCATACACTAGAAGCCCTCGCAGCCCTTTGTAGTTTCTTCATCTTCTAGTGGTCCTGCAAAGTTCATGTTGTCTCTTGTGGGTTACAGCACTGAAGGCAACTTTCAAATGCAATCCTTTTTGGAAGACAGAAGCAGACTCAGAATAATGGTAATGAGAAAAGTTGTTAATAAAAGTAGTTAGTATTCATCTCTTTACCAGGTAGTTCCTGCACATCTTGCGTAAGCCAGCACTGGTTCTGCTACCCTCCCATGCTTTTTGCTCACTGAATTCTTCCAATCCGTGTGTGTGTGGGGTGGGGGGTATTATCTGCCCATTATTCTGCCCATTTAACAGATAGGAGAGAGAGAGGCTCAGAGAGGGACTTGATTAGGACCATTATGGGGAGTGGGGGTGGTCCAGAAGCAAGGAAGAAAGTGGGCTCTGAAAGAAACATTGAATTCCTGGCAAGGGTCAGAAAACAGAACTTGGGTTTCATAATGCTTATCTTCTCAAAGAGACCCAACTTTTAAAAAACTTTTTATTTTATTTTAGACTATAGCTGATAAACAATATTTTGGTGGTTTCAGGTGCAAAGCAAAGGGACTCAGCCCTACATATACATATATCCATTCTCCCCAAACTCCCCTCCCACCTAGACTGCCACATAACATTGAGCAGAGTTGTATACAGTAGATCCTTGTTGGTAATCCATTTTGAATATAACAGTGTATATGAAACCCAACTTTCTTAAAATGTAGTATGATATTTGCTTTTTGTTATCCATCTCCTCCTGTCCACCCTGCCTCCAAAGTGTGTGAAAACTCCTTCCCTGTGGATAACAGCTCGGGGCTCTTACATAAAGCAGCTGCAGGGAAATTGTGCATCATTTGCACAAATCATTTGCCTGATCTGACTCTGCTCTGTTTTCTGACCTGTTGCTCCGTGAAGTATCATCTTCATGATGCTTTCCAGAAAGTGTGGTCTGAGCTCACATTTTCCTTTGGCCAAAAGATACAGATTCCCTCTGAAGCTATGTCATACTCCTACACTTAAAATTTATTCTAAATAGTGGAGAAGGAAGTAAATCCCAATATTGTAAGCTGTCCAACTGAGAGAAAAGTTACACCGATAAACAGATAATACCTCGCCTTGTAGCTGCCAGTTGTGGGAAATGGTAACAGATGGGGGGAAAAACAACCTGAAAATCACCCTGTGAAGCCAGAGGACAGATTCAGAGGGGTTGTCTGAGGTTTCCTTGTGGGGAAGCCCAGTCAATGTCAAATACAACTTGCATGAGAATTATCTTCCAGCATATGTGTGCATCATTTCTCAAGGAAGAAGAGAAAGAAAACCCATGGAAAAAATTGCGTGTTTATTAAAACAACAAATATTTACTGAGTACCCACTCTCTGACAGCTGGGACTAGAGAGCAACTTCCTGCCCCCTCCCCAACTCTTCGCACCCCCGCCACACACACATTCTTGTTGTTTTGTTTGCTTCTCTCTTGTTTGAAACCATTTTCCCTCTTGGGCCACCTCCATAAACTCAGTATCCTTTTTTCTTGGAGCACACATTCACCTTCTCTTCTCTCAGAGCTCCTGCAAACCCTGAAGCATCAACTAGACACATCTGCCAACCTGTGGGTTCCTAGGCTGGCCCTGCCCTAGCCCACAGGCAGAAGGCAAAACCTCCTTCCTTTCTCTTCCTCCCCATCCTGTCTGTGGGAGAAGGAGGAGGAGGGAGAGGAAGAGAAGAAGGAAGGGGAGAGAATGGAGTGATTTATTATAACATTGACCAAAAAAATTATGCCCCTTCATTTAGACCATCAAAGCAGCCATGCTGGGTCTTGATTTCACATAACTCTTCCTTCCATGTGTTATTTATTCTAGTGAATCTAAGAGAGAAGGAAATTGTGAAAGTCATGTTAGAAATTTACATGTAGTCAACAATGCTCTGTTATTGTGCACTTAGAAATTGGTTAAGAGGAAAGATCTCATGTTAAGTGTTCTTACATCAATAAAAAGAGACAAACAAATAACTTAATAGAATTTGCTGGCTCTGGGAACCAACGTGTAAAGGAATGTCTGCAGCTGTTGCTAGGGACGACATTATTTATCTCTTTGTAAATTTAAGATAGGGTCTGTGCTCTGTGACAGGGGAGAGGAGTTTCTAATCTCGCTCTGGGGAGAATGGGGAAAACATGTAATTACAGATTTTTCAAACTAGGTAGGCAGTGGAGCCCTGATATTGTCATCTTGCAGAGGGCCACGTAGTTTATGCATGATCAGAAAGCGCACAGCTACCTGCAGGGCCATAAAAACCCAGGTTTCCTGACCCAGGCCTCAGTCTCAGATAGATGAGTAGAACTGAGCTTACTGATTTTGCAGTTAATCCATGTTCATTGCTAAAACAGTAGAAAAATCCATTAAACAGAGAAAAAAGAATCATTCGTAATCACCTGCAATGTGGTCACTGTGTTGTTGCTAAGTCCTGTCCGACTCTGCCACCCCATGGACTGTAGTATGCCGGGCTTCTCTGTCCTTCACTGTCTCCCAGAGTTTGCTCAAATTTATGTTGTTGAGCTGATGATGTTATCCAACCATCTCATCCTTTGTCATACCCTTCTTTTCCTGCCCTCAGTCTTTCCCAGCATCAGGGTCTTTTCCAGTGAGTCAGTTCTTCTCATCAGGTGGTCAAAGTATTGGAATTTCAGTTTCAGCATCAGTCCTTCCGATGAATATTCAGGACTGATTTCCTTTAGGATTGACTGCTTTGATCTCCTTGCAGTCAAGGGACTCTCAAGAGTCTTCTCTAGCACCAGTTTGAAAGCATCAATTCTTCAGCACTCAGCCTTCTTTGTGGTCCAACTCTCACATCCATACATGACTACTGGGAAAACCATAGCCTTGACTAGACAGACCTTTGTTGGCAAAGTGATGTCTCTGCTTTTTAATATGCTGTCTAGGTTTGTCATAGCTTTTATAGAAAACAAGATAACCTCCTAGGGTACTGAATTGCCTTCTTTTGGTCCCTTGAAATACTTCCAGATACTCCTGCCTTGACATACCTGTGCCTCACTGTTCCCTCCTCCCGGAACATTCTCCCTCTGGGTCTTTTGAACACCTGGCTTCTCTTCATTTATGTCATGCTCAAATGACACTTTGTCAGAGAAGCCACCTCTGGCCACTTGACTTAAAAGAAGCAAACTGCCTGCCTGGCCTCACAGGGACTCTCTGATCTGTTTACCTTCTTCATTACATTTGACCGTCTGAATTGACTTTCTTCATTTGCCCCTTTATTTAGTGACTTATTCATGCCATAGCTATTTATTGAAGGCTTACCACGTGCTGAGTGCTGTTCTAGAAATACCACAGAAGACAAAAAAGACCTGACTTCCAAGAACTGACACTCGGAGGGTACTTGGAGCATTTTGAACAGAGAAGTGACATGATCTGGCTTGTGTTTTAGAAGGTCCATTTTGGCTATTGTGTTGAGAAGGGGCTGCAAGAAGACATGGCAGAAGACTGTTTAGGAGGCCCTGACCTTCTCCCGGGCAAGAGAGCGTGAAGGAAGGTGTCAGTTTGGGAGCACACACATGCATATACTTACACTTTTGCAACAAAATGAATTTGTGCTCATATATTCCATTCTATCACTGTACTTCTTACTCAACAATATGTCACCTGCATCTTTCCATATCAATAAATATGGAGCTTTATCATAATTTTAATCTGTTTGTATTAGTCTCTTGCATGGTTGTATCATAATTTATCTAGCCAGTCCTGAATTAAACACTTCAGCAGTTTCACATTTTTCACTGTGATAAACAATCCTTGCAGTGAGCATTCTTAAACATACATTCCTGAGTACTTACTTTTCCAAGTGTTTTTTTGAGATAAAGTCCTAGAGATAGAATCACTGGGTCAAAGTCTATAGAGGGCTTTTCATTCAGGTTGGCAAATAGGACATCCCACTAGCTGTGTGCCTGTCTTCTTACTCACCCATCCAGTTTTGGGTATGACCACCATTTTTATTCTCTGCTAATTCCATAGATTAAAATTTGGTATTTTTTGTTTTTGTTATGGCTATTTCATGACTTTGCACATATTTGGGCTGTTGAACTTTTAAAATTAATTTTTCAGAGCATTTAGTATATTAAAGACATATTGTTATGGATGTTACAAATTTTTAAGGATGTTTCCATGTAATCCTTCCATTTTTTTCCAGAAATTATGAAATATTACATGCATGTTAAAAAATGCTTACGAGAGGTATAAAATATAATGAAACAAACTCCTGTGTACCCATCACCCATCTTGAGGAATGGAACATTTCTAGTACTCTAATTGCATTCCCTTTCCCCCCCCTTAGCCAAGCTAATCACTTTCCTGAATTTGATGATTCCCTGGCCATTATTTATAGTTTTAGCTAACACTTAACGTCTTCCTGAACAACATGGTTTTAGTTTTGCAAGGTTTTGCACATTACGTAAATAAGATCACACTGCAAATAATCATTCATGATCTGTGTTTTTCAAACATTGTTATGTGTGCGAGCTTCTTCCTTTTTTTTTTTTCCATTTATTTTTATTAGTTGGAGGCTAATTACTTTACAGTATTGTAGTGGTTTTTGTCATACATTGACGTGAATCAGCCATGGTTTTACATGTATTCCCCATCCCGATCCCTCCTCCCATGTCCCTCTCCACCCGATCCCTCTGGGTCTTCCCAGAAAGATGGTAACGATAACGCTAAATGCAAAACAGAAAAAAAGACACAGATGTATAGAACAGACTTGTGGACTCTGTGGGAGAAGGCGAGGGTGGGATGTTTCAAGAGAACAGCATCGAAACATGTATATTATCTAGGGTGAAACAGATCACCAGCCCAGGTTGGATGCATGAGACGAGCTTCTTCCTTTTTGAAGCCTGTGTGTGCGTGCATGCTCAGTCGCTTCAGTCTTGTCCGACTCTTTGTGACCCTATGAACCCTAACCCGTCAGGCTCCTCTGTCCATGGGATTTTCCAAGCAAAAATACTGGAGCGGGTTACCATGCCTTCCTCCAGGGGATCTTCCCAGCCCAGGGATCGAACCCACCTCTATTACATCTCCTGCATTGGCAGGCAAGTTCTTTACCACTAGTGCCACCTGGGAAGCCCTTTTGAAGTCTGTAGCTCACCTACTTTCATGGTTGTCGAGTAATCAGGCTTGGTTCTCATACCCTTGTCTTGCACATTCTCTTGCTGCTGTGCATGTGGGCTTTTTCTGTGCTGCTATTAGCCTTGTTGCTCATCCCTCCCAGTGCAACTGTGCAGAAGTTTCTCTATAAGTGAGATTTCTGAGTCCCAACTCATGCATATCTTAATATGTGTGAGTTCATGCTAAATTATTCTCCAAAGTAATTTTTACCAACTTATATTTTCATAAGATCATGTGAGACTTCTGATTTGTCCACATCTTTGCCAAGACATGTTATTGTCACACTGTCATTTTTCCCTAATTTTCCTGCACATGAAATGGCAGTAGACAGGGAATATTCTTGATTAAAAAATAAAAAAGATGACTTCCTAGAAGAGGGAGCTAGATGAAAAATTATATATTTTTAAAATACTTATTTGTTAGTGGTTTCAGTGTTCCTAGAATTTTGTTGTTGTTCAGTCGCTCAGTCACATCCAGCTGTTTGGAACCCTATGGACTGCAGCACTCCAGGCTTCCCTGTCCTTCACCATTTCCCAAAGGTTGTTCAAATTCATATCCGTTGAGTTGATGATGCCATCCTACCATCTTATTCTCTGTTGCACCTTTCTCCTCCTGCTCTCAGTCTTTCTCAGCATCAGGGTCTTTTCAAATGAGTTGGCTCTTCACATCAGGTGGCCAAACTAATAGAGCTTCAGCTTCACCATCAGTCCTTCCAATGAATATTCAGGGTTAATTTCTTTTAAGGTTGACCAAGGGACTCTAAAGAGTCTTCTCTGGCACCACAGTTTAAAAGTATCAATTCCATTTGTTTATTTTTGCTTTTGTTTCTAAAATTCTGGGATGTGGGTCATAGAGGATCCTGCTGTGATTTATGTCGGAGATAATTAGCCTCCAACTAATAGAAATAAATGGGGAAAAAAATAAATTTTCAAACTTCTAAAAAAAAGTATCAATTCCTTGGCACGTGGCCTTCTTTATAGTCTAACTTTCACATCTGTACATGACTACTGGAAAAACCATAGCTTTGACTATATGGACCTTTGTCAACAAAATGATGTCACTGCTTTTTAATACTCTATGTTTGTCATTGTTTTTCTTCCAAGAAGCAAGTGTCTTTTAATTTCATGGCTGCAGTCATCATTTGCCATGATTTTGGAGCCCAAGAAAGTAAAGTCTGTCACTGTTGCCATTTCTTCCCCATCTATTTGCCATGAAGTGATGGGATCGGATGCCACAATCTTAGTTTTTTTGAGTGTTGAGTTTTAAGCCAGCCTTTTCACTCTCCTCTTTCACTTTCATTGAGAGGCTCTCTAGTTCCTCTTCACTCTCTGCCGTGAGGGTGGTGTCATCTGCGTGTTGTTGCTGTTGTTCACTCAGTCGTGTCGACTCTTTTTGACCCCATGGGTTGCAGCACACCAGGCCTCGCTGTCCCTCACCATCTCCCCAAATTTGCCCAAGTTCATGTCCATTGCATCAGTGATGCCGTCCAGCCTTCTTATCCTCTGATGCCCTCTTCTCCTCCTGCCCTCAATCTTTCCCAGCACCGGAGACTTTTCCAGTGAGTTGGCTGTTTGCATCAGCATATCTGAGGTTATTTATATTTCTCCTGGCAATCTCGATTCCAGCTTAAACTTCATCCAGCCCAGCATTTCACATGATGTACTCTGCATATAAGTTAGAAAAGCAGGGTGACAATATACAGCTTTAGTGTACTCTTTTCCCAATTTGAAACCAGTCCATTGTTCCATGTCCAGTTCTAACTGTTGCTTCTTGACTGATCTGCATACAGGTTTCTCAGGAGGCAAGTAAGGTTCCTAGAATAATAAGAAGGTAAACTGGCACTTTTCTTTTAGGTGGAAATGATCAGGACTTTTGTTAGTAATTGAGGTAATTTTAAGGCCAGAAAGAACAGACTATTTGGGAGAAAATTTGCAGGAAGAATTAGTTACACTATTAAAAAGTTGGATGCTTTCCTCTACAGTTGCTGTGGATAAGACCAGTATTCAAATGTACTATCGAAAAAGTAAATTCCTGAACTTGTTTCTTCCGATCAATATTTTAAAATATTCATTTGCTTTGGTACAGAAATGAAGTGAGTAGGTCAGTAGTAAAGAAGTAGGTTACCTTGTGTTCTAGGAAGTGCTTGCCAATAAATACCCATGAAAAATAGTCATGTATACCATCTAGATTTAATTTAGATTCTTTATATGTAGATCTCCTTGATATTATGGTTCTACTTTGCATTTGGGACAGATTCACAGAAAATGAAAGTTGCTCAGAGTGTACTTCTAAAGCATTTCAGAACAACTGCTCACCTTTTTTTTTCTCCTGGTGATAACCTGCCTGCCTGTTGGCATGCCAAACATCTGCCGCATGTGTGAGGGGAGCCAGTGGTGTTTATACTGCACATATCAGCTGAGAAGTACAGAGCCTGCTGACAAAATGCATAAGCTAATTAGGCGTGAACTAACACAATTGGTTCTCGTTTCTGCAAATGTACAATGCCACTCTCAATCTATTGTGTTTTTCCCCTGGTCTAAAAGCATCACAAATTAGTCATTTTGGGAAGCCAGAGATTTTCCTGGCAGAGACTGACTGCACAGATGCTCCTGGGTTCATGACCACCATATGCAAGCCTTTCTGAGCACCGCTCCAGGCTTTAGGTTTGGAACACTGTGGTGGTATAGGTGAAGGACCATGAGAATTCCAGACAGGAGATGTGGGTTCTAGATGACTACAAATGAGTTGTGTGACTTTGAACAATGTACGTCCCTTTCTGGACAGATATTCTGTCATTCGCAAAGTGAGGAGGTTGGACATTCTCACTAAATACGTATTTTCTTTTAGCATCTTCTGTATGCCAGAAGCCAAAAAAATATTTGTAATAATAAAAGGCATGATCTGCACTGCTTAGAATATACATAATTTAGAAAAGAGGGACAAAGAAGAATGAGATGATTTCAACTTGGCAAGGCAAGCAGAGGTGTGATTATAGCAGAGCAAAACAGCCCTTAGGCCAACTTGGAAGAAGTTAAGAAATGCTCGTTTGGGAGGTAACATGCTACAGAGCCATGAATGATGAAGGGAGAGACATTGGGAGGACAAGGGTGAGAGAAGAATATTACCTGACAGGAGAAGTATGTGCTAAGGCAAGGAAGTGTGTGTGTGGGGGGGGGGGGGAATGACACATGCATGGTGCTCTTAAAACGTGGCTCTATTCTTTGACATTCTTCCCATGGACAGGTGGGAGTCTATGTTCCATCTATCTTAGCTGTACATTTTATCTTATTCACTGGAACTTGAGCAGCCATGTAAGAAATCCAGCTATCCCAGGGCCTCCATATGGTGAGGAAGCACAAGCTAGCCTCTTGGGGAGGCCATGGATAGGTGCTCTGATTGCAAATTCCAACTGTACCCAGCCTTTGAATCATAACTGCCTGAGCACCACATGTATGAGCAAAGAAACCTCTACAGAATTCCAGCCTCAAATGATTGACATATTGTCTACAGAGGCCTCCAACATCATGAAGCAGAGACCGACCATCCCTGCTGTGCTCTGTGAATTCTTGACCCATAGGATCCAGGAGAATCATGCACAGTGGTTTTTTTACACTGTTACATGTTGAGGTGGTTTTCCATGCAGCAATAAAGGATGAGGACAAGTCCCTTTCAGCTCTAAAATTTGGATGTTTTGTAAAACCCAAATATATCCTTCTGTTCTTCCAAAAGAAAGCTCTGACTCCATGAAATTTTGGTTTGAGGAAATGGTTGTAGGAACATCAGGACAGATATTGAAATCTCCAGAAAAATTAAACAATCCCAAAATGATTTAAATCATAAAAAGAATGTCTGATTCACACAACTGGAAGATCAAGGTGTGAATCCAGCAGATCAGCTGCCAGGTGTTCAAGTGATGATCAGAATCTGATTCTCTCTAATTCTGCCCTGTGCTTTTCTGTGTTGCTTTCATTTTTCAGACAGCACTCCCCAGGTGGTAGTAAGATGGCTACCATCAGCATTTACAGAAAGAGAGGGTGTCTTTCTCCATCATTTCATCATATCTCCCAGGGCTGACTGATGTTCACTAGCCTTGACTGGACCCCACTCAGATTCCATAACTACCTTTGATCCATGACTGTACCCATGGGAAAGAAGTACCTGGATTGGCCAGGCCTGGGCCACATTTCCACCTTTGAGTCAAAAGACATTGTCTTTGACTTCCTAACAGTGGAAGAAACAAGGTTCCCATTTCTTGTTTTATCAGAAAAAGAAATAGATGCTTTGTTGTTGTTTAGTGACTAAGTTGTGTCCAACTCTTTTGTGACTGCATGAACTACAACCTGCCAGGCTCCTCTGTCCCTCAGATTTCCTAGGCAAGAATACTAGAATGCGTTGCCGTTTCCTACTCCAGGGGATCTTCCCACCCAGGGATTAAACCCATGTCTCCTGCATCTGAAGGTGGACTCTTTACCACTTAGTGACCAGGGTTGCTTACCAAAAAAAAAAAAAAATATATGTATATATATATATACATCCTCTTAGGCAGAAACTTCTTGTTCTGTTTGAACCAGACACCCATTTGACATAACCTGAAACTACCCAGGCCTCATAGAACTATCCTTTGTATGGGTTTTGTTAACACCAAAGCAACAAAACAGATCTATGATATGGGCTATAGAAAAGTATTTCTCAGACTTTATAGTTTTGAGGATTCCTAATACTAAAGGAGATCAGTCCTGGGTGTTCATTGGAAGGACTGATACTGCAGCTGAAACTCCAGTACTTTGGCCACCTCATGCAGAGTTAACTCATTGGAAAAGACCCTGATGCTGGGAGGGATTGGGGGCAGGAGGAGAAGGGGACGACAGAGGATGAGATAGCTGGATGGCATCACCGACTCAATGGGCCTGAGTTTGAGTGAACTCCGGGAGTTGGTGATGGACAGGGAGGCCTGGTGTGGTGCGATTCATGGGGTCGCAAAGAGTCGGACACGACTGAGCGACTGAACTGAACTGAATACTAATCTATTCTTTTTATTGTTGTTGTCATTAATTAATAAACATTTCTGAATTTTGGTCTTCCCTGATAGCTCAGTTGGTAAAGAATCCGCCTGCAATGCAGGAGACCCTGGTTTGATTCCTGGGTTGGGAAGATCCCCTGGAGAAGGGAACAGCTGCCCACTCCAGTATTCTGACCTGGAGAGTTACAGTCCATGGGGTCACAAAGTGTTGGACACAACTGAGCAACTTTCACTTCACTTTTTCTGAATTTTAATGAGTTCTTCTCTGCACACTTTTATTCAGTACTGAAAATTGAAATAGTTTATCTCAATTTCCTTCCAAAGTAATAGTCTCTGGTTAAAAATCAGAAAATAGTTTCAAGTATCTTCTTCTAATCATTATGTTTTACTCAAACAATACAGTGTAAAGCTGCCAAGGTCTGTATACACACTCCTTTTATTCGTGTTCCTTTGCTTCAAGTTCTCCATGTTGGATCTCACTGTCAACTTCAGGATTCTAAAACACATATGCATGAGAACTAAGACTTTTTCTTTGGACCAGTCAATAAAATGGAACAAAAAGAGAACCAAAGTCAGCAAGTCTTTTGAGAGATAGCTTATACGTTATGGATAAAAGGTGAAGCAGAAACAAAAAGATCTAAGGAGGGAAAAAGACAACTTGCGTGATAGAAACTGTGTGATGAGATTTAAACAAACAACGACAACAACAAAAAGCCCACGTCTCCCCTCCTAGCACGTTCCATGCTTGATGGTGAACCTAAACTAACTAGCAGGAAAGATTCTGGCCCTGGAATTGAATCTAATGTATGTGACCTATGTTTGTTTGATTCCCCTGAATTCCTTGATTCAGGGATCTTCCTTATTTTGGGGGGGGTCTCAGAATTCCCACCCACAAAAGTGATAGCATTGATATTACTGCCTGAGTCAGCATCTGTTGATCTGTTATGATTACCATCATTTTATTACATGAAGAAAAGGCTCCTGTCCTCTTTAAAGATGATTAGGTTGGTTGAGATCAAATTCTCTAAGTCTTAGAAAGCTCTCAATCACTTCCTTCCCCTGGATCTGACCTGGTCTTGCCATTACCTCCAGGAAGGCAACATACCCTGCCCCTCTTGTCATGTTGGATCCACGATCATTTGGGTAGATAAAAGGGAGAGAATTTGACAACAAATTGCTCAGACTCCATGTTAGATATTCTAGGAAAGAGAAAAGGAAGCTTACTATGCCTTTCTGGGATTCTCCTTTATGTAACATATGGGAAGACTCAGAAGGCCAAGTTGGTCTCTGGCATTGGTACAAGAACATCCAGGCAAGCCTGAAGTTCCTCCTGGATCGCTAGGATAGACCATGAAGGTGAAGCTCAAGCTTCTCCAATTGCTAGACAATGGCCAGGATCAGAGGACAGCCCAGTCTGGCCAGAGGAGCCCAGACCCCAACATAGGGTCAAGTGTGAGAGGGAATAAAACCGCGCCTCTCTTGCATTTACATCATGTATTGTATCTGTGTCTTCATGGCAGTATGATTTTTATCTGGAAATGTGTTTTTCAAGCTAGGAACTATTTTCTAAGGATCCAGATGTTCCTAGGGATGCCTGTTCCATCTGGTTTCCATCTCAGTCACAGGGTTGGACATGGAGCTTCATTCTATATTCAGATCTGTCCCCTCTGCAGTAACAAGCTGCTGGATAAACTGGAATCCACACAACCCAGTGTGATTAGTCTGCAGCAGCATTTCATTACCGTGGCTTTAATTACAGCCCAGAATGTGAGTGATAGTGAGTTTTCCCTGGAAAAAAAGAAGCTAAACTCACACCCCTGCTCTCTTAATTATACTGGCCTCTTTCTATCTTCAACATACCAAGGTCTTTCCTAAGCCAGAGCCTTTGCTGACACTGTTCTCTTCACCTGGAACACTCCACCCACCAACAGCATGGGAGATTCATGCTCATCCTTCAAACATTACTTCAAGGTTTCACTTCCTCTAGTCCCTCCGTTGACATAAAGCCCAACCCCATTCTATTTATTCTCTCCCATGTCTCTGTGTATATGCTTCATAACATATGACACAGCAAGTATAACTGCCTCATTGGTTTGTTTGCTTACTATCTGCTCGTCCTCCAGCCCCGGTGACAAAGTCAGGTCCATGAGAGCAGGTGAGTTCCCTCCCTGGTTCCCCACTGTGTGTATCTCCTGTGCCGGGCACAAGTGTGTGCTCAATAAAACTGCATTAAGTGCCTGAATACATGAGAAAAGATTCAAGGCAAGGATCCCAGAGGAAAGCATCAGGGGAGTGCTGCTGATTTGGTTGGGTTACAAATCTCGTGGCATTGTTGAGGACCCCGTGAGCTACTAGCCACCTCTCTGGTGGGTTCAAGGCTCTCTGTGTGCAACTGGGACCTGTAAGCACAGGGGACAACAGGCCTTTCACCAGGCCCCAGTAATCCTCTTCCATCAAAAATGCCTCCTAGCCATGCAGTAAGGGAACCAGCATTCATTCAGTTCTACCACACAACCAGTCCCATGGGGCAATGAACACTGATCTTACATAATCCTCACAAATATCCAAGGAGGGTCTGTATCCCTGACCCCACTGTCAGGTGATGATGCAGAAGCTTGTGGAAGCTAGGTGTCTGGGCAGGGGCACATAGGTGGCCTATCTGCTGCTAAAGCCTGCCCCTTGAGTATAACCCAGCATGTCTCCACAGGGCCCTAAGGCTTCCTCACGAACTCAAGAAGCTTGCAGACTTTGTCATCTGTTACCCACCTGTCTTCATTTCTATGTTTTGTCTTCTCCACTGTTTGTACCCAGGGTTTTCATTATTCTCCTGCTGTCTGGTCCTAGGCAAGGTACTTAGTCTCTCTGAGCTTGAGTTTCCCAACCAATGAAATGGGCTGATTATAGTACATACTGGGCTTCCCAGGTGGTACCAGTGGTAAAGAATCCACCTACTAATGCAGGAGATGGAAAAGACTCAGGTTTGATGCCTGGGTCAGGAAAATCCCCTGGAGGTGGAAATGGCAATCCACTCCAATATGCTTACCTGGAAAATTCCATGGACAGAAGAACCTGGCGGGCTACAGTCCATGGGGTTGCAAAGAGTCAGACATGACTAAGCATGCATCTATAGTACATATTACATGTGCCTATTGGAGGGGTTAAAATACGCAAACAAACCCTTGGATACTACCCAGTAGGTGTTAGCTATAATAATTGTGTGCTGCAAAGTTGCTTCAGTTGTGTCTGACTCTTTGTAACCCCAGGAACTGTAGCTTGCCAGGCTCCTCTGTCCATGGAATTCTCCAGGCAAGAATACTGAAGTGGCTTGCCATGTCCTTCTCCAGGTAATCTTCCCAAACCAGGGATCAAACTGGTGTCTCTTACGTCTCCTGCATTGGCCAGCAGGCTCTTTACTACTAAGGCCACCTGGGAAGCTCTAATAATTATATTATTAGTTAGGGTAACTATGACCAACCTAGACAGCATATTACAAAGAAGAAACATTACTTTGCCAACAAAGGTCTGTCTAGTCAAGGCTATGGTTTTTCCAGTAGTCATGTATGGATGTGAAAGTTGGACTATCGAGAAAGCTGAGGGCCAAAGAATTGATGCTTTTGAACTGTGGTGTTGGAGAAGACTCTTGAGAGTCCCTTGGACTGCAAGGAGATCCAACCAGTTAATCCTAAAGGAAATCAGTCCTGAATATTCATTGGAAGGACTGATGTTAAAGCTGAAACTCCAATACTTTGGCCACCTGATGCAAAGAGCTGACTCACTAGAAAAGGCCCTAATGCTGGGAAAGACTGACGGTGGGAGGAGAAGGGGACCACAGAGGATGAGGTGGTTGGATGGCATCACTGATTCAATGGACATGAGTCTGAGTAAACTCCGGGAGTTGGTGATGGACAGGGAGGCTGGTGTGCTGCAGTTCACGGGGTTGCAAAGAGTCGGACATGTCTGAGCAACTGAACTGAACTAATAGTTGCTTCAGCAAATAAACCTAAACATCTCAAGGGCTTAACCCTCATTTCAGAATCCATTATGGGCCAGCAGAGGGAATTCCTTGTGACATTCAGGGCTCCGGGCTCCATTCATTGTCCAGCTCCATTATCTCCTGCAGAATCCACCACTGAATTGTTTGCATCAGTGGACAGTGAGAGGAGAGAGGGTAGAGGACTGTGCAAGAGATTTTGCAGGCTGGCCTGGAAGTAGCAAACATGTGGGCTTCCCACATAACCCCACACTATTACCTGGGGTAGGGATGTGTATGTAGTCTAGCTATATGTCCAGAAAGAAGAGGAGAAGAACAACTGTGGATGTTAGTGAGCACTAAGGTTTTCTGCTACATTATTACAATTATAATAGTTATTCCCAAGCCCATTGGCCCATTTTAGCAATCCATCTGGGCATGTATTCCCTAGAAAGTACCCTGCCTTTCCTAAGTTCCCTCCTAACCATTGACACTTATGTGCCCAGCGTCCTCTTTCTTTAGAACTTCAGAACCATTACAGAGAAATGTCCCCCACATTAGAAAACAACGTTTTAAAAAAGTCATTAGTTCTGAGTGATTGGCTAGTAATGGGTTAATGTATAATGTATAATTGAAATAAGAATCCAAGGGGAGGGGGGATGGAGGAGCTATTTGGGCTTTCTGCAAGGGGTGACCTTGTCCTTGCAGGTGAAGTTCAAGTGGAGACCTTGATGACACACTCTTCTTTCCTCCCTCCTTTCAAGATATAACAGGCACTTCTGGGTAGGGGAGACTGCCTCCCTGTGTCCACGTGCCCTGGTTTTCTACTGCCCACACTGTAGAATCTTTTATTCTCCCCTCTCCAGACTGCCGAAAGGGTACCTCTGCATACAAACGAGGACCTGGATGTCCTGAATGGTGTGCTTCCTTTCATTTCACAGAGCCCTCCCTGACTGGATAGACATGGTGCAGATGTGTGAGCTCCTCCAGCCGTTATCCATCACGGAACACTCAACAAATATTTAATGAGTGGTTTCTTTGAGTGAAGGAGTCATTCCGTTTCTGTAACACAAGGGGAGGAACACGTATTTTGGGTTCAGGCTATTTCATTTTTGGAGTTTATAAAATGTTTTAACTGGCAAGTCTCAGAAAAGATTTCCTATCTAAAAAACAAAAACAAATACAAAGATCTGTTCCATCTGATCTGCCTTGATGCATTTTTCTAAGCCCCTGGTTTTCTAATTAGGAGGCAAGAAGAGGAAGTTTTATTCCCGTGCCCATTATAGCGTGTGACCGTGTTTCAATTATATTTTTCTTTTGGCTGGATAAGGATAATGAATAGATCTTTATCAAATAATTTGAGAGACTTTATTATATCCAGCAACTTGTGCTAATAAGATGCACTTGGAATCTCATCTCTTTGAAGTTTGCACTGACATCTGCAGAAAGTCAGAGAGGACCAACCCCGGCATTTATGACCTGCATCTCTGAATGTACTCTCCACGTGGTTTTATAGAAGTCAAAGATGCATGAAACCATTCCTTTTGCTGGCAATTCAAGCCAACCCTCCTAATGGTCTGTTGACACAAAAAGCAGTAACAATCACAATACAGGTTCAGGAATTAGTGAATTCACTGCAGATGGTCAAAATGTAGTCCCTTAAACTGCCCATACAGTATGTTGCCTTCTCCTCCTAGAACTGGGACAGAAAGCTCTCTGATGGCCAAGCGCTGGGTGAAATAGAAGGGGACTTGTTTCATGAGCTTTTCTTCATCTTCTTCTTTTTTTAATTTGGCTGCACCAGGCTGTAGTTGTGCCAGGATATTTACTGTGGCATGAGGGCTCTTAGTAACAGCATGTGGGATCTTGTTCCCTGACCAGAGATCAAACCTGGACCCCCTGCACTGGAAGTGCCGAGTCTTCACCACTAGACCACCAGAGAAGTGCCTTAGGAGCTTTTATATAGGAGCATGCGTATGGTCAAATGTGGTCCTCCCAGCAAGATGGAGAACGACAGAAACTGAGATCTACGAAGGAATCATGTGTAATTCTGCCATCTCCCACTATGCAGCACATTGAGAGGAATGGGGGCAGATTTACTTGTAACAACCAGAATGATCCATCCATCTATCTCACCCTTACACCGTTGAAGTCACCCTAAGTAAGTGACAGGTGGTATGACTTAGACAATGAACATTCACTGAGCACTTACAACGTGCCTAACAATGGGCTAATCTTTTACAAGTGTGATATTATTTTATGTTTTCAAGAACCTAATGAGTTGGGTAGTTTTATAGATAAGGTAGCCTGATTGAATTACTGAAAAGTTGTAGCATTTGCTTAAGTAAATAGTGAGCAAAATAATTCAAACCAAGATTTGGTTGCCTCTGAAGTGCTGCACCACTTGCAAGTCATCACTGATGACCTCACACCAGGCAAGAGGGTGGGCGGAATTGAGCTCAACCAGAAGAGAGGCTTGGTTTTTCATTTTTGGTATAGAGTGTCCCTGCTCTAGCCTCTCTCATCCTTAGGTGTCCACATGCAGGTAGTCACAAATGAAGTGCTCATTACTCTTTAGATTCTGTTTCTAGAGTTTCTCTTTCCTTAGTTTCAAAACATCTTACCTGGTTCTCCAGTATCCTTCTATGCCTGCAACTAAGGAAGGATACATTCTCTAACCCTCCATCTACTGGTTGATCTGAGTTACAAAGGCTTTTTCAATACATGGAATCACAACCTACCATAGTGCTTTTTGTACCCTCAAGGATGAGCTACATGACTTTGCCCACGGTTAACATTTAATGTACATACAAATGTCAGAAAATAGATACCCCATCTCACCCCACCAACTTCTGTGTAAAGAAATAATGGTCTCATCTTGAAATCAAAAGGAAGGAAGGGAGAAAGAGAGGAGAGAAGGAAAAAGGAAGGAGAGAAGGGAGGAAGGAAGACTTTGTCATCTGTACAATGGTAACAAAATAATGGCATGCACCCCAAAGAATTTGGGGGAGAATTAAATGGGATAACATATTCAATGGATATGACACAAAGTAGGTCCTCCTGCCCTGCAAATTGTGTTTCTTTTCCCAGGAATGGCTTGAGTCTTTCCTACTTGTGAATCCATCATTGAACTGCAAGATTTATAAAGACATAGGCATTCATCCTATTTCTTTAGCAACTCTTCCTCTCCCCATCCCTGACTCAAGTGGTACAATTGGAGCCCTTGCTGTATTCCCCAACATGACAATCAGCATGTCTGACTAGCTGATGCTTTGTTCTAAGGCCATGTCAATGCTTAATTACCCTTTTGACCAGAAAGTTCATCCTTATCTCTTAAGTCCCTTCTGCTATAATTTAGTTTATTTTTGCTTGTTCAGCCCTGAATGTAGTATGTCTTTATTTTTCAAAGCAGCATTGAAATGAAGGGGGATGGCTAAGAAAGGAAAAATCAGGCCATTTAATGGAAGGCTAGTTGTTTCTATGAAGTGTCAGAGCTGGGAAGATAAAACGAAAAGCCGGGGAAGGAGAGATAGAGAACCTCATTGCAATATCTCACAATGAACCATCCACAGTCCTAAAATTATATTTTAGATTATTGCTTCTTTTTTTTCTTCTTAAGACAGAGGTCAACTGTAGGGAGAGGGACTTCTTTTGCCATTAGCTTAATTGAGAATCTTTACCAGGGAGAGTCAAATGCATTGGTGAGTTGAGATACTTGGCTTCAGAATATTAAATTCATTTCTCAGGACTGAATTTTATGGCAGCTGGGATGGAGCAGCAGAGGAGGGGTATTGTTAGACCAGTTTAAGTCCTGGCTCTGCCACTTATTGGCTGTGAAGCCTCATGCAAGTGGGTTTTGCTCTGGGATCTCACCTGAATTGTAGCTGATGATGACCTCACAGAAATATGTAAGGGTTAAATGATTTAATAGAAGTGAGAGAAACCAACATTGCTGACTTCTTGATAAATGTTCAGCAAACGTCTCTTGTGTTGGAGTTTAGATCAGAGTGGCTTCAAATTTGGGAGGCAGGGAGAGGTAATAATGGGGGTTGGTAGGGAGACCCCAAGGTCTCAGGTTATTGACACATTGGATGAGCCACAGAGCAGGTGAATGACTCACAGGCATGGCTTCAACCCTAAGAAGCCATGAAAGCTTGGAGGGTCCTGGGATTGCTTGTGCGGTTCTGGACGGGACAGTCTGTCCCAGATGTACACAGCTGTGAGCCTCTGAGGGCCAAGGCTCAGGATCTCTGTAGGAGGTATATTGTCCTCTCTCCTTCCCCAACTGGGACGGATGGAGCCGAGCACAGGCTCTCACTGTGCAGAGCTGGGACAACAGCCATGGCCCAGAAAAAGGCACGTGATGTCCCAGGCTCCCCGGACACCCGTACCAAGGCCTCCTTTTTAACTGTCCAGCCCTCTATGGGATGCCTTTCTCTTCCAGGCTTAAGAACATTCTAGCACCCCTCCCCAGGTGTCCTGGCAAGACCCTCATCCATCACGTTGACCTGGCTCTGGTTCAGTAACCATCTGGAAGCAGCACATTCATTATGCTCGTCTGGGGTTCATCAGCCTTCCCAAAGGAGATGTTAGAAACTCCACACTTTCAGCAGATGTGGCTCCCTTGAATGCGCCCACCTCTCAGATCAAGAAATCAAAGAGACGTGAAAGGAATCTTTACTTGAAGGCTAGACAGACAGCCGTTTCTAAGCCTTGAGAAGGCTTTGGAAGAAATGGGGGTCCCTTTGTGAGCTCCAGAAATTCTGTGGCTTAATCCCACTCTACTATGCGATGATGACTTTGGGTAATTTCAAGCCTTTTGACTGATTCTAGGAAACACGAGAGCTGCTGAGATGTTGTTCACTCTCTCCTTGAATGCACAAATGTACTGTTACCAAATTGTGAGGTTTTACAGAGGCACAAAGCAAGTGGATGTTTCTTTTGAAAAGGGAGTACACTGCTGACTCTATTTCTATTTTCTGAGTCATCTGTTATCACTGTTTTTTATAAGGGGTATTTTTTTTTTTCTTTTTAAACTTTGTTTATTGATTTATGTATTTTGTGTCTGTTTTGGGCCTTTGTTTTGAATGCAGGCTCTTCATTGTGGCACACGTGCTTCTCTAGTGGGTGAGCTTCTCTTCTTGTGGTGGGCAGGCTTACTTGCCCCACAGCATGTGAGAATTTAGTTTCCCAAACAAGGATCAAGTCTGAATCCCCTGCATTGGAAGGTGGCTTCTTAACCACTGAGCCACCAAGAAAGTCCCTTTTGATTTCTCCAAACAGCCATTGCTTTTGATTTCTCTAAACAGTCATTCTAGTATCTCGGCAAAATGTTCAGGACATCTCCTCCTCTCTTTGCTTCTCTATTTCTTATTCATTCAACAAATGCTTATTAGGCTATGTCAGATGCTCTTCTAGACACTGAGGCTACAGAAATGAGCTAAGAAGATAAATATCCCCACACTTGTGGAATTGATATTCCAGTGCAGGAGGCGGACAAGAGACAAATCAAATATTGGTTTGGTCAAAAAGTTCATTCAGGTTAATCCAAAAGAACTTTTGAGCCAACCCAATGCACAGAACGTCAGATGGGATAAGTGCCCAGAGACTGTGAAGAGCCCCTAGTGAGGGAGGACAGCCTGGACATTGTGCAGAGATTTGAGGAGGTGAGAGAACCGCCCATGAAGCATGCCAGGCAGGCGGAACAGCACCTGTAAAGGCCCTGAGGCAGGAGCATTCAGGTGTATTTCACATCAGCCAGATAGCCAGTTTGCCTGGAACAGAGCAAGACATGAAGGAACAGTGGGGAGAGAGGAGAGAGATCACACAGAGGCCATGGCCAAGGGTGTGAACTGACCTTAACTGGTGTGGGAGTCAGTGGAGGGTTTTGAGACGAGAAGGGACATGATCTGACTTCTGTGCTAAAATGCTCCCTCTGGCTGCTGTTCTGAGAACATGTCCTAAAGTGGTGAGGATGGAAACAGGAGACCAGTTACCAAACTCCTGCAGGTTTGGGGTGGGGATGGGTAGACAGCATGAGTGGGAAATATTAGGAAACCAGAACTGTATCATGCCTATTTGCAGGACAGGAATAGAGACGCAGATGCAGAGAACAGATTTTCAGACACAGGGAAGGAGAGGGTGGGGCAAATTGAGAGAGTAGCACTGATATATATAGATATAGATATAGATATAGATATAGATATACACACAGTTTGTTGCTGTGTTCAGTTGTTAAGTCATGTCCGACTCTTTGTGACTGCATGGATTGCAGCACGCCCGCTCCCCTGTCCCTTCACTATCTCCCAGAGTTTGCTCAAACTCATGTCCCTTGAGTCGGTGTTGTTATCTAACCATCTCACCCTCTGTCACCCACTTCTCCTTTTGCCTTCAATCTTTCCCAGTATTAGGGGCTTTTCCAATAAGTCTACTTTTCTCATCAGGTGGCCAAAGTATTGGAGCTTCAGCATCAGTCCTTCCAATGAATATTCAGGGTTGATTTCCTTTAGGATTGATTGGTTTGATCTTGCAGTCCAAGGGACTCTCAGGAGTGTTCTCCAGAACCACAGTTCAAAAGCATCCATTCTTGGGTGCTCAGTCTTCTTTATGGTCCAACTCTTACATCTGTACATGACTACTAGAAAAACCATAGCTTAGACTATATGGACTTTTGTCAGCAAAGTGTTGTCTCTGCTTTTTATTTATTTATTTATTTATTTTTGAGCTCAGGCATTTATTTCTCTGGATCCCCCCCTTCAAGGTTGCACTGGATGGGCTGTATACTTTATTTTTTTTTATTTTTATTTTTTTTCATTTTGTCTCTGCTTTTTAATATGCTGTCTAGGTTATAACCAAACAAAGGCCCCACCTCCAAATATCATCACATATAAATTTGGGGGAAAGACAAACATTTTGCCTATAGTACTGTTTAAGAAGATGGGATGGGGAACTGAACTTTTCTGGGTTCCAATCCTGACTCCACCACTTGTGTGTGACCTTGGACAAGGGATCTAAAATTCTGAGACACACTTTCTATAGCTGTAAAATACTTTGGCCACCTGATGTAAAGAGCTGACTCATTTGAAAAGACCCTGATGCTGGGAAAGATTGAGGACAGGAGGAGAAGGGGACGACACAGGATGAGATGGTTGGATGGCATTACTGCCTCAATGAACATGAGTTTGGGTAAACTCCGGGAGTCAGTGATAGACAGGGAGGCCTGGCATGCTGCTGTTCATGGGGTTGCAAAGAGTCAGGCACGACCGAGCAATTGAAGTGAACTGAACTGAACTGAAAATAACGTTATGGGATGAATTGTGTACCCCTCCCCCCAAATTCAAGTCCAAATTCCCGTGCCTCAGCATGTGACCTAATTTGGAAGTAGGGCTCTTGCAAATGTAACTAAAATTAAGATAAGGTCATAATGGAGGAGAATGGGTGTCTTTATCAAAGAGGGTTATTTAGAGACTTCCCTGGTGGTCCATGGCTAACACTCCAGCCTCCTATAATTGAAAGTCCTCAGTCATGTCCAACTCTTGTGACTCCATGGACTGTACAGTCCATGGAATTCTCTAGGTCAGAATACTGGCGTGGGTAGCCTTTCCTTTCTCCAGGGGATCTCCACAACACAGGGATTGAACCCAGGTCTCCTGCATTGCAGGCGGATTCTTTATCAGCTGAATCACAAGGGAAGCTCAGCTAAAGTTAAGATAAGGTCATAACAGAGGATAATGGGCCCCTAATCCAACATGATTGGAGTCTTTATCAAAGAAGGTTATTTAGAGAATTCCCTGGTGGTCCATGACTCCAACCTCCCCAGTGCAGAGGGCCGGGGTTCAATCCCTGGTCAGGGAACTAGAATCCCACATGCTGCAACTAAAGACCCCACATGCCACAACTATGACCTGGCACAGACTAAATACAGAAGTAATTTAAAAAAAAAAAAAAAGAAAGAAACTTGGATACACACACATACAACACCATGTGAAGATGAAAGCTGAGACTGGTGTGATGTATCTACAACACAAAGAACACTAAGAATGGCCAGCAAAGCACCACAAGTTAAGGGAGTGGCCTGACACAGGTCTTTTCCTCATGACGGTTGGAAGGAATTAATCCTGCAACACCTCAGTCTTGAACTTCCAGCCTGCAGACTGTGAGACAATACACGCATGTGTTGTTTAAGTCCCCCAGCCTGACACGCTAATTACAGGTGGAGGTAATAGAATGTGTACTTCAGGAGGAATGTCTAGGGTTCAATTAGACAATGTATCTCCAAGTTCTGTGTGAAAGTGTTAGTCGCTCAGTCGTGTCTGATTCTGTGCCCCCATGGACTGTAGTCCGGCAGGCTCCTCTGTCCGTGGAACTCTCCGGGCAAGAATACTGGAGTGGGTTGCCATTCCCTTCTCCAGGGGATCTTCCTGACCCAGGGATAGAACCCAGGTCTCCTGCATTGCAGGTGGATTCCTTACCAGCTGAGCCACAAGGGAAGCCCAAGAATATTGGAGCGGGTAGCCTATCCCTAATCGAACAGAGGTCTCCTGCATTGCAGGCATATTCTTTGACAACTGAGCTATCAGGGAAGCTCTTAAAGTCCTGGAACACAGTAAGAAAAAGTCAGTAAATTTCAGCTCTGATCATAGCCATAAACTTACCATCATCATTTTCATCTCACATCCCCATTTCCTTGCCTCACCTTCTCTCCACTATGTTTGAGTGCCCAGGCGTTGGGTTAAGGTGAGCTAAGTCCTCAGGACTGAAGCCAGGCAGTTCCCACAGGCAATCAAATTTGTTATCACAAGAGTTGTTTTCTCAGCTATTGATTCACCACATGGCTCTTTGTCCAGTGGCTTCGCCTCCCTTTGTGCTCATTCTCCACCCAGGAAACCCTTCCAGAAGGATGTGAGGAGGTTGAATGGTCATTTGTAAGATCACTTTGACATTTGAGTGTGGAAAGTGCGTGTCACTGTGAGACATAACTCCTTCCTTCTCATCACTCAAGACTGATCCTTCTCCTCTTCCAAAAGTCTCTGTCTTACCTTAAGAGTGTCCTGTGATTTGAGCTACAGTTTCAAACAAACTGTTCTGGAAGTTCTGGCATGCCAGAGTTCCACACAGCTATCTCCCTCTTTGCTTGAGAAGTTCTAGAATTTGATAGGAAAAGTCACAAAGGCTTTGACTCAGTTCCTGCTGATTAACTGCAGGGAGATTCCTGAAGACTCATTTTACCCAAATGTCAGAGTCCCCAGTGGTGATGAGCAGATGACTGCTGTCCATGGAGTGCTTTTAGGGCACATGTGGAGAAGTACTAAGAATTTAATAGTCATACATTTAGCTGGCGTACAATAGACAATATGACCAACACATCAAACCAATAGTGCAAACTTTGGGTTTTGTTTGTTTTATAATTCATCATTTTATTTTTAATTTTTATTTTATTTTTCATTATTATTACTTTTTGGCCACACAGCATGTGGGATCTTAATTCCCCTACCAGGGATTAAACCTGTGCCCCGTACATTAGGAGCATGGAGTCTTAACCACTGGACCACCAGGGAAGTCCTGGTGACTACTTTTTGAATTAAATTTGTATGAAAAAGGAAAAGAAGTTGCTTTTTGAAAATGTTAAATCATGCAAATGGTACTCAGGGAAAAAACCACTGTTGTGATTCTTAAGTGACAAAAATTTGGACAAACACATGAGGCACTAGACAATCCATGTGGGCACTTAAACACAGAGGTACAGCTTTGATAATTATGATTTTCAAAAGCTAGACTTTCTACACATTGCTAGTGATATTAGCTCCTTCACCCTGCTTTCCTTGCTCATTAAGTTCTGAACTAGAGCCTTGTTTGAACATTTTATTTTGTTCTCATTTTATGCTGTGGAATTCAGGGAGGTCGCCTTGCCTTGGACCCAGTCCAATGTCATCTATTCCTGGAAGGACCCCCCTGATAAAACCACTTTAAATCTCTGTTCAAAACCCTTGTTAAGCCTTCTCTCCAAATTTACTGTTCGAAACTGTTCTGTAGTAAGAAATACAGGCCTTTCTGAGAGCCGTTCCTCAAGCTCTCTCTTGTAAGGTTGTTGTAGGAGTTGTAAATCGCTCAGTTGTGGCCATGAGAAGTTATAATGAAACCTCCGGCAATACCAGGCCTGAAGCTAGAACTGAGATTAGCATTTGAGAGTTGGCTGTTTCATTCTTCTTTAAAATCAGAGGGGAAATATGCTACCATCTGTGCAACCTCCGTATAATACTGTATAACCCAGACAATTCCCACTGTGCGATCCATGAGCTCCATTTCTGGCTCAGACCATGCAGTAGGTATGTGTGTGTATCAGTTCAAATCTACGAGCTGATTTACACACCACCAATGACCATTTGCAACTTTGGTAATGACTTTTGTAATTTTACTCTGAGATTTTAGGGCAAGCCCAAATTAAGTGACCCTGTGCATTTTATGAAGTTCTTTGAAGATTCCTGGAGCTCAGCTTTCCTGCCCAGGGTTTCATATCATTTTTATTTACCCCTCTGGGCATGATTTATGTTGAGCAGAGACAATATACTGATGTCATACAAACAATAGCTAATTACAAAAATCACTTCTTCTAACAACTTGAAAGAGGAACTGGGTTTAAATGAGGAAAACAAGCCGGGTTGTGTGTTCCTCATTTCTAGATGGCAAGCTGAAATGTCACAGGGTGTGCCCTCAGCTGTCAGCATCTAATCTAATTAGACAGGATAATTGGGGAGGCTGAGCTTGCTGGCAGCTGACAAGCATATTAGCCTCATTTCATTCACTCTAATACGATGCTGGCAACATGGCGCTTCCATCTAACCATGTCAGCCTTGACTGGCCCCTGTGGCACAGAGAAGAAGGCTTCTGAACTCAAAGACCAAAGTCTGGTTCCACCTAGAGATAGTATGTGGGTACAGGGATCTTGACTGGAGAGGATGGGGAGAGTGTGTGTGCTGGGAAAGAGTGGTGTCAAATCAAAACTGTAAATGCAAACAGGGTGATTTTTGTTTAGAAGGGGTGGAAAAGTAAACCGAATGCTAAATCACTATTAAGGAATATCCCTTTTATTTCTTTTAAGGACTTGGAGTACACAGAACCTAAGTTGATAGAATGTTGCCTAGGGTATCCTTTTAGAAGGGCTTCCCCTGGGGATGTTCTTTTAGGTGGCTCAGTTCAGTTCAGTTGCTCAGTCATGTTCAACTCTTTGCGACCCCATTAGGTGGCTCAGTGGTAAAGAATCCACCTGCCAATCAGGAGTTGAATCTCTTGGTCAGGCAGATCCCTTGGAGGAGAAAATGGCAACCTACTCTAGTATTCTTGCCTTGGAAATCCAATGGACAGAGGAACTTGACAGACCATAGTCCATGGGGTCACAAAAGAGTGGGACATGACTTAGCAACTAAACAACAATAACAACAACCCTTTTAGAGACCTGCTGGCAGGAATAACTAAGAGGGATTCCTCACCATCTTTTAATTTCTTCATCTTCAAGACTGATAATTCAAACAAGACCCAGCTGATCAACCTTCTGGCCATTCTGATGGGTAGGCCATCAATTCCTAGGCTATGTTTGCTACCAGATATTTTTAACAGCCACTTCCCCCATTGTATTCATCTTCTATTGCTCCTATTACAAGCTACCACAAATTTAGCAGCTTAATATGATCCTCATTTATGATCTTGTTAATGGATCTCGATACTCATTAAGGTCTCTTCTGTAAATCACAACTTTTGGTGCAGTGTGGCTCAGCTGGGTCCTCTGCTTTGAGGAGACTGAATCTAATCTCTGGCAAGACCATGTTTCTTTCCGGAAATACTAGACAGAAATCTGCACCCAAGCTCATTTGTGTTGCTGGTCAAATTTAGTTCCTTTCAGTTGGACTAAAGTCTCCATTCCTTGTTGGCTGTCATGGGGACAGGGGGAAGGAGGTCGTCTTTGCTCCAAGAGGCTGTCTGCACCCTTCTAATGCTTTCCATGTGTCCTGCTTCCAGCAATAGTTGATCATGTCCCTTTCACCCTCCACACCTCTCCAACTTATTCTGCCTCAACTCTCTGCCCAGTTGCAGAAAGTTCTCTGCTTTTAGAGATTCTTGTCATTAGATTGAAAGAGTCCAGATAATGCAGGATTGTCTCCCTGTTTTAAGGTCTATAACCTTAGTTATCTCTGCAAAATCCCTTTTGCCAGATAATAGAACATCTTCACAAGATTCAGGAGTTAGGGCATAAACATCTTTTGAGACAGATAAACAGTGATTTGCACATGACTGTACATGCACGAGAGCTTCCCTAGTAGCTCAGCTGGTAAAGAATCTGCCTGCAATGCAGGAGACCCCAGTTCAGGGTCAGGATTCTTGGGTCGGGAAGTTCCCCTGGAGAAGGGATAGGATACCCACTCCAGTATTCTTGGGCTTCCCTGGTGACTCAGATGGTAAAAAATCTGCCTTCGATGTGGGAGACCTGTGTTCAATCCCTGCATTGAGATCCCTTGGAGGAGGACATGGCAACCCACTCTAGTATTCTGGCCTGGAGAACCCCTATGGGCAGAGGAGCCTGGCAGGGATTGCAAAGAGTTGGACATGACTGAGCAACTAAGCATAGCACAGTATATGCACGAAAATATTTTATTTCATATAGTTTAAATGTTCTCCCCTGGATCTTATCTACATTCATGATTTTAATTTAGCACTTTCTTTTTCATAGATCAATTCAGTTCAGTTACTCAGTTGTGTCCGACTCTTTGTGACCCCACTGACTGCAGCACTTTGGGCTTCCCTGTCCCAGCACCAACCCCTGGAGCTTGTTCAAACTCATGTCCATCGAGTTGGTGATGCCATCCAACCATCTCATCCTCTGTCATCCCCTTCTCCTCCCACCTATTTTCATAGATAGCACTATGTTAAATTTTGCCCCAGGCACTATCTCAGCTGCCATTCATTATTCCAGATTAGTGGGGTTCAAAATAATGAAGTTCCACAAAGTAAAAAAGAAAAAAGGGGCTACTGTTCTTGGTCTAAAGGCTTCTGCCTGACCTCCCTGTGAATGTCCAGACTTACAAGTTCAGAGATACTAGCACTTTGAGGCTCTGGACATTGGTTTAATTAATCAAGTAGGACAAGTTGATTATATGAAAAATGGCTATAAAAGGCAGCAAGATTAGTATACCATATGTACTTCATGACAACCATAGTAGGTATGGATATGGACTCACAAATTTGATAGTAAGAGGGTACCCAAGCCTGCTGGTTATGGTAAGATGTACAGTGGTGATGAAAGTAGAGAAAGCACTGGCCTTGAGCATTTACCTCTGGGTACGCTCAAGCGACTACATTGGGCATGATCAGCAGGATGCTTTCTAACAGCTCTACTCAACCCAAGCTTAACCCCAACAGGTTAGAAAAGCGACTTTCCTCTAGTCCCTGCCAGAGAAACAGAAATCTATTCCTTGACATGGAAGTTTTCTACCTTTCTCCCAAGTAGTCCATTTTCTACATGTCCCCACAGCCTCCTGTGACTCAGGTGCAGATGCAGACAGTGATTAAGTAATTCATCGAAGATGACACCATGACAGAAATGAGACCAGGACTCAGGATTCCTGACTGTGGCCAGTTGGGGGATGTTCTCTAGTGGGGGTTACCACGCAGGCAGTGATTGACATTTTCCCTTAATTTCCACTTTCATCTCTTAGTGAATCAATCAGAAAAGTAACTAACCGTATATGACTCTCCGAAGAAAACAACTGCCAGGTGTTTCAGTTTGGAGCTTACCTAGAATCGATACTCCCTGGAGTGTCATGTCGTTTAAATCAAAGATGATGGTTTGAATCCTGACTCCACTGGATCTGAATATCTTCCAGTATCTAGCACTGCAGATAGGTGGATAGATAGATGGCTATGTGGTTGGATGGATAGATGGACAATGATAGATAAATGGGTGGATGGATGGGTAAATGGATGGATAGATGAATGCATGAGAAGGTAGATGGATGGAGAGATGAGTATTATGGATAATTATGACTTGGTATGCCTTTGTGTGTTAGTGGCTCAGTCATGTCCAACACTTTGCAACCCCATGGACTGTAACCCACCAGGTTCCTTTGTCCATGGGA